TATATCAATGATAGTTATTAGTGCATGAAGTTTATGGAAAGTACTAGTATCTTGAACAGTTTATTTGAAACTTAGTTTGAGGTTGTTTTTTATGCCCCCCGTAATCGAAGATTTGGGGGCTTATGGTTTTTGCCCTGTTCGTCCGTCTGTCTGTCTGACTGTTTGTCTGCAAAAATTTTAACCTTGTCCAAAACTTTTGATTGTTTGGAGCTATGGCTTTCATATTTCACATGTGTATTTCCTGTGATAAGACCTTATTTAGGTACCAATATATTTGACCTTGGAGTTTGGCCCACTTTTGCAAAATTTTACAAATATCAACCTTGGTCATAACCTTTAAACGGTTGTTGCTAGGGTTTTATACTTCACATGTGTGTTCCTTGTGATAATGCCTTTCTTTGGGTACAACAATTTTTGACCTTTTGTCCTTGACCTTGGAGTTTGACCTACTTTTGAAAAAATTAACTTTGGTCATAAATTTTGAATGGTTAGTACCAGGGCTTTCATATTTCCCATATATATTCCTTGTGACAAGACCTTCTCGTGTGCACCATTAATTCTTACTTTGACCTTGGAGTTTGACCTATTTTGTTAAACTTAAACCTTGGAATGGTTGGTGTTAGGGCTTTCTTGTTCACATGCGTATTCCTTGTGAGAGGACCTTTCTTTGGGTACCCACATTTTTGATCTCTTGACCTTGGAGTTTGATTTGCATTTGAGAAACTTTAACCCACGCCACGGGATGTACTATGGGGCATCAGAGTTTTACAAACACATCTTGCCTTTTTTTTTTTAGAACGGACAGACAGACATAAGCACAGAGTCAGATTTATGGCGGAGCATACAAATGATTTAAACTTTATTCATCTTTATTTAGTTTAAACAAGTTTGTATTTTATCAGACAAAGAAAATGTCGAAGAGGGTAGCCCAGTGAGATCAAAGAGCAGTAAATAAATAAATAAATAAATATGTGCTTTGGTTTCTTAAATCTTTACAAAGTGTTTTACGATTTTTTTTATACATACTTTTGCAACATTTCAGTGTAATTGAGAAGGCTATTTTCAAGATGTGTAGCTTCCTGTGGTATTCAAATACAGATTTGTTATTATGACCATTGACCTCCTCTCTGAGACCAAATAACTTGTTAGGGTATTTACATATGATACAGAGTTCATGAACATCGTTTTCGAGGTCATTTATTTAAGAACTGAGAGATAAAAGTGTCCAAAAATATTAAACATGCATGGAGAATGATCGGTCGAAGAGAATGTAACATTCTGAAGTAGTTGTTATATTATCTTATCAGTGACAAGATTATAAATTATGAACTTATTTCTGATTGAAGAATTTGAATTATACCTTTTCTTACTTCGTCCTCTGCATTTTGAAAACATCTGTAATTCTGATACTGAAAATTACCATGACAAACTTGAGCAAAGCCCTAACCTAACTGATGATTAAAGAAATTATGATGAATCTTTCTCAATAGTTTATCATTTGTTTTTCTTATTATATGTACATGTATGTGGCTTTGATCGCTAGTGTTTGTACGTATGTACGTTTATTTTAAAAGGCAATTCGTCCTTGTTAGTGTTTTTTCTTCTTTTCTTCCTCAAAGCTTTAATTTCCGAGAAAATTAAACACGCATACTACGTACAATGTATATGAAAAAATTATGTCAAATCTCGATAAAGGCCGGGACCTAAGATTTATATTCTGTGATATTTCAAAAGCCTTTGATAGGGTTTGGCAAAAAGGACTTATCTTTAAACTTGAAAAAATAGGCTTCCAAAATAATATTTTGGGCTGGATTAAAGATTACCTTACTGACAGGCAACAAAAAGTAAATATTGAAGGTTTCTCATCAACATTTAAAACTGTTGATGCAGAGGTATCCCAGGGATCTGTAATAAGCCCATTTTTATTCTTATTATACATTAATGATATAACTGAGGGCATACATAATGGTATCCGTTTATTTGCGGATGATACATCTTTGTTTGCTATAGTAGACGCTGATATTATGACTCCTACATTATCTCTTACAGCCGATCTTGAAAAAATAAAGAAATGGTCAAACTCTTGGGCTGTAGATTTTAACGCTGATAAAATAATTAATGTTAATTTTACAAGAAAGCAGCGACTTTTTCCAGACATTCATTTTGGAGAAAATGGGGATATTATTGTACCTTCCAGTAGTCATATACATTTAGGGGGCTTCACCTTCAGTCCGATGGTAGTTGGAATAACCATATATCTGCTATTTACGAAAAAGCTTGTAACAGATTAAATATTTTGAGATAATTAAAGCACACACTTGATAGAAATTCCCTAATAAAGATATATTTTGCTTTCATTAGACCTGTCTTAGAATACGCAGATGTGGTATGGCATAACTGCTCTCAGGAAAATACAGAATTGTTAGAAAAGGTCCAAGTAGAAGCTGCAAGAATTAACTTACTGGTCTAAGGGTAAATTCTTCAAGATCTATTCTATACGACGAACTAGGTCGGGAGCCATTACATCAGAGAAGAATAAATCATAAACTTATATTATTTTATAAAATTGTCCATGGTATTGCCCCATATTATCTATGCGAATTATTACAGCCTTTCCAACCAGTGCAGCATTCTTATAGTTTGAGATCAGACAGAAGTAATCTTTCTCCACCATTATGTAGAACTGTATCTTACTATAATAGTTTTATTACTTCAACTATAAAACTGTGGAATAATCTTAGCTCTGATGTAAAAATGTCACCTTCTTTATCAATGTTTAAGTCAAAAATAAAATCTAAACGACCATTTAGCAGTTGTAAATATAATAACTATGGTAACAGAAAAGAGAATATACTTCACTGTCAATTACGCAATAAAGCTAGTAACCTTAATGCACACTTAAGAAATCATTATATAATAGCTGATTCATCTTGTCCTGGGTGTGATTACCATAATGAGGATAATGAGCACTATTTTATGAATTGTCCGGCATATAGCATACAAAGAAATGAACGAAGAAAAAATTTACAAGAGCTAGGTATACCGTATGAACTAAAGATTCTTTTACATGGGTGTTCGAAGTTATCGTATCAAACGAACATCAACATTACAAATTATGTACAAGAATATATTAGGTCAACAAAACGTTTTTAAATACATTTCCTTTTGATATATATAATTATTTTTTACTACATTTTATTAAAACTATGTGTTATGCTTAATTCATCTGGATCTGTGCGTGCCTGTGTGTGCTTGCGAGGGTGTGTCTCTGTGTGTGTCTGTGTGTGTTTACCCGCATTGTAATATATATATTCACTCAGTCCATTGTATTTTGTAACTTTGATTCTTGTATAGAGAGGGTATTTATAGGCATTGCCTGTTGCCCAGTCTATTCATTATTTTGAATAAATATTGTTTAAATCACACATACTACATAACCAAACTCAGTTTGGATTATATCATATTGCCAAGGTATATGAACTAATTCAAAAATTATGGTGGATATTTTTTCTCAAAACAAGAACATTCAAAACGTATAACGTTGTACTCACTTAGTCTTTCAAAAATCTACATGTATGCCTAGCTGTTTCTAGGCGTTTTTAGGCAACAGAAAAATTACTTAGATCTCAAATAGATCTTTTTTGAGACGATAAATAGAATTTACTGTCATTTTGTCTTGGCTTCCATAGTTTTCATTTCTGAAAGCATATTATGATTTTTCTTTTAGTCCCTTCTGTCACATCGATACGGATATAGAAATCTACCAAGAGTGATAGAGGCTTCCGAGTTCGAGAAGTTGGTAGAAGCTGTCGACCCCGAGCCCAAAAAGGTCCTGCTCAAGTACGAAACTTAAATCTTAAATACACTTCGTTTCATAATTGTTGCTTTGTATGTAAAATTAAGGAAATTGAACATTGAAATAGTGGAAAGAAACTATGTGTTTTTTGAAGATGGTATCGCCGTGACGAGAACTCTGTGCCGCCGGTTTATGCTCTTACACAGATTAGCAAATTTCTGCCTGATTTCTTGTCAACTGATTCCCAAAAGAAGAGAGAAGCAGCAAACCAATTCTGGAAAGAAAATGACATCATGCAAGATGCCTTAGAAATGGCTGCTAATCAAGTCCTGGGACCGGAAGATGCGCGCAGATACGTTATATCAGGTATATCCCCAAGAAGGTTCCTATACAATGAGCTATTACCTGTACAGGTACATGTTTGTCAGAAAAAAACACTTATGTTAAATATATATATCTTTTTGAGGTAAAAAAAATTTCAAAATGAGATACTTTGCTTGCGATAAAAAGTTTTAAACAACATTGATCAAATCATCAAGTTGTTTTAAAAAATTTAACAAAAGTTAAAAATAATGAGACTTTTTTTTAGAATACAATACAACCCAGCATGTACTGTATACTTATTCAGTGATATGTTATGTAAGTTTTATTTAGACTGACTACTGTGTGTACATTACAGTCACAGAAAAGGAGACAGAGATGGGGATTTTGGATGCTGAAAATCCAGAATCTCACTGTCTTTGGTTTAGAAGAAGAATCAAAGGCATTGAAGATTTGGGACCCACTACAATTGTTTCTCATTATATAGGTATTATAGTTTTATTTATGCAGTAAGTCATTAAAAATTAGTGCTTTAATCAGTAGTAGTGTAAAATTGAAGGAATTTTTAGGTTTACTAAAATTACACAAAAGAAAAATAACCCATATACAATTCTTGTCCATTTACGTCACTTAAGACTGATGTACGAGTGTATGATACATTTATGTTTGTTTTTCATAATTCCAGACAGCACAGGCCCTGAGGAAAAATGGAGAAAAAACAGAGCTTTACTAAAAGAGCTTTGTGACAACAGGATTCCAGAAGTTCTTCCTGCTAAAAATATACACCAGTATGAAGTGGAATGGAAACAAGGTTATTGTTCTGAAGAGTTTCTTGGCCTAAAGGAATTGATCTGATTAACTTCATTACATTTAAATTTAATCTTGTAAAAGTTTATTATCCCCACTTAAATATAGAGTACAATAAAACTTGAAAAATTAAAGTGGTCAAAAAAAAATACTTCTTCATTTCACATTAACTGTAAAAAAAAAATTGCAATGAATCCCACTTAAACATATTTAAATTGTGGAAATGCTAGCTTACATTTCAGAGTGAACATTATTTTAACAAAATCTTTCTGCTTTTCATTTCATACCATACCACAAAGTTATTAACATAACTATAAGTAAAATACATTCACATATATCACAATCATTTTCAGAAAAAAAAAAACAATGACATGATGTCTTTGAAAATAATGAACCTCATATAAGGAAAACTCATTCATTTTTTCGTTCACACTATGATTATTTCATTATGGGATTCATTCTGACAATATTATCTGGGAATTTATCACTCAAAATTATTCCTTTCTCTCTGTCTGTGTCAAGTTCTTCAATGAATCCAAACCAATAGATGACCATTCCTGGGCCAAACCTATTCCAGTAACTCCAGAACTGATCCTTTAGATAACCCTTATGACTGTATTCATCACCAAAAGAGGCTTTACTCTCTATCCAGTTGATAACATGACCATCTACACTGAAAGGGACTTCTAATTTAACATCAGGAGTCTTATCAAAACCCCTTGTTCTCATTTGATCCTCACCAATGTACGCTAAATTCAATGAATCTAAAATTCTATTAAGTTTATACTCATGCTCATTCCCAATGAATTGTTTAATATTGTCAACATGTGGTCCATAGTGATCATCACAGACAAGACACTCATGGATTTCTGATGCCAGTAATGGGTCGTTTATGAGAGAAGTGTCTTTCATTAATTTAGTAACATAACTCTTTGGTGGGGCATCTCCTTCATACTTTGTTGCCGACAAATGCCGTTCGAGTACCATTCTTGCTAACAAAGCAGGTGACAACTCCACCTCATCAGCTAACTTTAATAATACGTGTCGTTCTTTGTTGTTTATCCCTCTCAGATAGTGTTCATAGTATAGTTCCATTCTTGCTGGATTATAATGAATATGATGTGTTTTTCTCATTTTCTTTTGAAAATCTTGAGCGTATATACTTCCAATCGTAGATAAGGAAAATTCCGGGTATTGTTTCACGATCAGCGGTAAGCAATCCCTCGAGTTGTGTGTGTGCATAATTTCTATAATGGAGTTGTACACTGAGAGTTTCATTTTCACAACAGACACTTGTTAACTGACCTTATCTGTAAATAACTGTCAAATTTCAACTCGCCCTACGCGCCTTTCTCTACTTTCACTTTCAACGAATCATAGTCACTCGAGTGCTTGTCTTAGGTAACTGGTACATAGACACATTCTTGTTGATTATATATCTAAACACTGATATTAAGTATGCCGATTTACAAGTAATATAAACCTCCAATATTTGATATATACAAAAGATTTTAAAACATATTTTACTTTCTTTACGTTTAAATGTCAACAATTTAATAAAAAAAAATGAGAATTGAACATCAATATGTTAAAAATAATTTTTTATTATAACAGAACTTTACGAACAGATCATATTAATATTTCAAATAATCTGCAGGAATCAACTCAAGCAATCCAGATCACAAGAAATATTTATCAAAAATGACTTCGGATTTTACGACAAGAATGTGCTCCATGATCCAAGAAGCGATTGAAGAACGAAGAAAGTCGGAGAAAGGGGACTCTCTGATCCAGGAGATCATCAATCATACAAGCTTCTGTTAAACCAAGCTGGAAAATTTCCACGGCAGGGAGAAAGCGTAGGAAGTACACCCAGCGAGAATAGATGTTGTTTCTTAATATGTTTTGCATTTTTGAGTGATATAACTGTTTTCTTAAGTGCTATACACTCTTTCAGTCTTTGTTTAATTTTAATTTTCGGACAATGATTCTCAATGCTTTATTAAAAGAAATGATATTTGGTTTTTAAAACTTAAAGATACATAGCACAAACACAGTTTCTTATCTCCCACATATTGTCTTTAGAGAAGTGGACAGGCTTTCGCCTACATCCATGAATGTAGAAACTTTACAGTAACAAATTTTCATATATCTCTACAACTTTTCAAAAATTAAGTTGAACTCTATAAAGTTACATTTTCCCACTTTTCACCAAATTGTGTGGCTTGACCAAACATAAAGTTGTGTAACTAAACAGAAAACACTCATTTAGTGAGAAAGTTCTTATTAAACTACATTTACTTAAGTAGAAATATTTGAATTTCGGAAGAAGAAAAATTGTTTGCGTTATTTATCCTAAACCTTTTAACACTGCAGTTTAAGAAAAATAAATTGTGATCAATCTAGTAAAAGAGCCAGTCAACATCCACAAATCACCATGTTTCGCCTATTTAAAACTGCATTTTAAAATGGGACAACTGATCTTGTTCAATGAAGCCCAGCATTTAAATGTAAATTAAATGAATTTCCATTTAAACCCTTCTCTCTAAAAGCAGTGTATAAAATGGTTTTAGAACCCTGTTTGATTTTAAAGATCTCTATCAAACCTAAAAGTTGATTGTAACCAAGACTACATTACCTATATCTGTGCATATAGAATAAAATTTTAATATGGCGCATTTCAACAGAATTTTTTGAATTTAATGACACAAAAATTGTGTACCTGTAAATGAAATGAAATCTTACATATTTTATCTGAATGCATCTTTTACAGAGAATAAAACAATACCTGAAAGACAAGAGCTCCAGAATTCTAGCCATTCACGGATCTTCCGGTAGTGGAAAGACAACTCTCATGGCAAATGCTGTCGAAATCTCAGCAAATTCTTTGCGAAAAACGATGAATAAGACGGTGGCTGTCGCTTTCAGGTGCTTTGTTTTTAATAGCAGATTCACTGAAAATTTAGGTTTGACACTGTAACGGTCATGATCAACTTTAATGAAATGTTTTTCTCCTTGAAAAAAGGTTTGTTGGAACAACCCCTGGTAGTTCTAATGTAAGCGCTCTTTTGGAGAGTCTCACAAAACAGATTACATTAATATACCAAGAAGACCTTAAAGTATCAGAGGTAAAATTGCAGGTTAAATCCACTATTCAAACTTTGCATTTTTTTTTATGTGAATGTAATTAGAATCTTTTCATTATCAAGGAGCTAAGAGAACTTGTTGAACAGTTCGAGCATGTGCTACATTACGCAAGCGCAGAGCTCCCTCTGGTTGTGATGATTGACTCATTAGACCAGTTGGATCCTGCTAACAATGCCAGAAATCTCTTCTGGCTTCCCCAGGAGCTTCCCCCTCATGTTAAATTAATTGTTTCTACACTGGAAGAGGACATTTATGAATGCTTTCCAAATCTTCAGGTGAAATAAATTTCATTGTACACGAAAAACCGTTGCTTGACGAAACTTTGGCATAGTTTACTGAATTTACATTTCAAATAACTTTTTAGGGCTTCCTTCCTCCAGAAAACCTCTTCTCCATACCAAAGCTTCCAGCAAATGACGCCAGCGGAATTGTAGACCACTGGTTAAAAAGCAAAGGCCGTTGTATCACCAAAAGACAACGGGGGATACTATTGCAAGCGTTTGAAAAGTGTCCCTTACCGTTGTAATTGAAGATGTCTTTGGACGAAGCCTGTCGCTGGAATTCATTCTCTCCAGACTCGGAAACTGTTTTGGAGAAGACGATTCGAGAAAGCATTAATGCTCTTTTTCAACGTCTTGAGAAATCTCATGGAGTTCTGATGATGTCACGATCAATGGGTTACCTCACTGCAGGTATGAGATTCCTCACTGAACACAGATATGCACTGTTTGTTAAGATGACTTTTGAATATGCATTGATATATTATTGTAGCTAGGAATGGTTTATCGGAATCTGAATTGGAAGACATTTTGTCATGTGATGATGACGTTTTGAATGACGTATACCAGTACTGGAAACCACCAATTAGACGCCTTCCGCCTCTGATGATGGCAAGACTACGGACAGATCTTCAGCAATATCTTGGTATTTTTATTTATTTTTTATGCAAAGGAGCACTAAACACCAAGTCTTTACATAACTTATGTTTCCCTTTCATTTTATATTGATTTTCTATTTAAATCAATTATAATGTCTTTCCTTCTCCGAATATAATTTATTTTAATTAAGTTCAAGTACTCGTTGAGTCCTATAATGACTAAATATTTGAAGTTCAAATTGAATTCTGATAGGTTCTGTGTGATTGAATCATTATTTTCTAATATATAAATTCTGGCCAACCATGTATAGGCTTCCGTGCTCTATGGTTCTTTATAAGCATGTAATTTGTGAAATGCATTTGTTAACAGTGGAACGGGGTGCCGACAACGTAACTGTAACCAGCTGGTATCACAGACAATTTCTGGAAGCTGCTGGAAATAGATACTGTCCACCAAACGATCTTACATTCCTTCACAGCCAACTTGCAGATTTCTTCGACGGAAAATGGGCCAATGGTAATTGTTATACGTATACAACTAGACTCTTATGTTTTTACTGTAGCATATTGGTAACTAAACATCAATTACAAATGAATTCAAACAGAAAAGAAACCATACAAAGACAAGGATGGGAAGAATAATGAAGAAATTCGCCATGTGATGTCACAACCTTTGATGTATGGCGACACCTACAATCTCCGAAAGCTGAACAACCTGCCATATCATCTGATCCATGCAGGGAATGTTGCAGCTCTGAAAGAAAAATGTTTATGCAATTTTGAGTTTCTTCAGCACAAGCTTTTGGCGACTTCCTGCAGGTATTAGACTATTGGCAAATGAGTTTTTTGGGAGGCGTTTGCAATGAGTTTATTTGTATCCTTTCATTATGCCATTCCAAGTTTTTCTTATGTTTAGCCTCCACCCAAAAACCATTCTATCTATCGGAGGGGGGGGGGGGTGGGGGGTGGCAAAAAAACCCCAAAAATGTTGCAGTAATTATAAAATTTTTCATGATCATTTGATTATTTTATTCACATTGTAACAAAATTAAAAAAAACAAACAAACAAACAAAAACCACTTTATTATATTAAAATCCAAATCTTTGGTTCTAAACTTAAACAAGATTTCATGTAAAAATTGAGATCCCGATCAAAATAGAGTAAAGTATTAATTATGTTGAAAATATTTGTATGAGTGGATTCTTTGATGTTTTTTTTTAAATTTTCATCACTCACCTGAAAACTGATGTAAACGTAGAAAAAAAATTGGAATGACCTTAACGTAATACTTATTGGAAATGACTCATAGTCACTAAAACATGAAATATGAAAGTACAGTCATTGAAAATTACAAACTGGTCATGATTTTTACAGACAAGTAATAGACGATTTCGATCTAGCAAGGCGTTCATTTCCGAAAGAAAAGGACTTAGAATTGATTGGAGAAGCTTTTCAACTCTCAGAAGATGACGTCATCTACGATCCCCTTATGTTTCCATCGCAGATGATAGATCGACTTGCTGATGAAAAGGTACGCTTTTGTTTTTGAAGTTTTTTTTTTAAATTTCAATATTTTAACACCAACAGAATGAAGTTTGAAATGTTTTCAAATCTTGTGCAGATTGTAAAAGATTTCGTAACACAATGCAAAAGCTGTACTCATCCTCATATCCGTCCTAACCAAGAGGTTCTAATAAAACCCGGGGGACAGATGCGCTGTGCTATGGCGGGCCATAGGGCATCACTGAAGTCGCTAGACCTGAAGCAGGACGGGAAAACGGCGGTTACCTGTGAGCAATGGCAACTGAGATTTAACTTACAACTTGTAATTCTTGATGATTAGTATTCATGGTCTAGACCATGAAGAAAGATTTGCAATGGTTGTATTCTAAATTTCTCTTCTTTTTTCTAAGGTTGTGAAATTGGTGATGATGAAATTCGAACTTGGGATGTGACACGGGGGAAACTTATTCGTACATATGATGGATTAGGAGACAACCCCTTTTCAGTTCACTATGTAAACAACGACAATTTTATAATGATAAACTACATAAATGTCATAAAAACAATCAACGAGTTAGGAGAAGTAATATACACCGTTCAACCTCGTTCTCAACAACATTCACTTGTCGTGGGTGGAACCGGAAACACGTGGTTAGGGTTGTTCCAGGAACAAATGGTTGAATTATATGATGCAAAAAGCGGGGAATTAAAACACAAGGTTTCTAGCAGCAATATGTCGGATCTAAATTTTGGTGTCGATGGAATTGCGGTGGGTAAGTTGTAGATAAAATAGACACATTTTATTTTCT